CCACTCAACCAAAAATGTCGGAAATTGCCCAAATTTCAAGAATTTATGCGATTTCCGCCACTTTTAAAAAGTGGGCGGAGCTTGCCACTCAGGGGGCGGAGCTTGCCTGACGGTGGACGGAGCCTGGCTAGAAGTTGCTTGAAGTCTTTGCGTTCATCTACAGCCTCATTCCATGCTTTTTGTGGACAAAAAGGATCCTTGTGAGAGGCATAAAAGTGGGCGGAGTTTGCCAAAAGGGGCGGGGCTAATACATGAAGTACATCTGAGCCTATGTTGATTATATGAACAAAAACTGAGAGGATTGGACAGATAGTATTGAATTTAAGGCCGCCGCGCACCATTGCGCGGCGTCGTCCACAGGGACAGACTGCCTGCCGCGCACTATTGCGCGGCACTGTCGCCAACGTGTTAATAAAATGATAAAAAATCTTACCAATGACCTTATATCGGAAATTAACCGATGTTTTTGATTAAAACAAAACTAAATAATGCAGTAAACAAAAAAAATAGTTTAAATAATGCAACAAGTAACAATTTTAGAATTAAGAAATTTAAATTCTTTTCAAAAGTTTAAAAACGGATAAGGGTATTTAATTTCTGGCACTGCACACATCTAGTAATGTTGCGAGAGTCACTTAGCTTATCTGGAATTTGATTTTTGAGTTCTCTGGCTAGCAGGCTGTTTCACAAATTTTGTTCTGCTTGTATAGTAAAAAAAATGTATTCGCATTTTTTGTTTATTTTTATTTTTCAAACGGAATAAGATGCAAAAACTGCACATTTAGTACTTGCAATGGAGAGCATAGGGCGTGCAATTTGGATTTCTGTGTAATTGATCTGAAAGCAAATCTGATATGTGGCATTTTAAGGTTATTATTAGCTTTAAATTTCACGTAATTCGGATTACTTGCGGATATTGAGCAAGCTCTTGTGCTTGCTTTTTTATTTGAATAGTATTAAAAACTATAAAATAATAGATAGGTCATAATTCGAGGCAGAAAAAAAATTTTATGATTGAAAAACCGCGCATATATACGTTATACTTCCGCTTGCTCTTCTCTACAAAAGGATTACCAAAGATCCACCTAATTTTTAACCTTGGTAAAATTTGGAGCCAAAAATCAAAATTTTTCAGCTACACTAAAACTCGAATCTCCTTCCACAAAATTCCTACTGACTTTCAACTTGGTCTTTATATAGTACCAGTCCAAAGCGTCCAAGGTTATCACAGTCAAGTGTCACAAATCCTGTTTTACATGGAGGTTTCTAATTGCAGTAAAAAAGCGGCAGATTTTTCTGACTACCTTCTTCCAGCTTCATCTATCCGTGCCGCTATTCCATCTTATGTTTACAGGTTACTCAACTTGCGTTTTGCAAACTTGAGTGTTGCCGTCTTTCCTTTGTCTTTTCAACCAAATTCCCCTCCCCTCTTCCCCCCCCCCCCCCCTCCATCTTCTAAGTAAAAGTTCCAATGCGAAAGTGTTCTACTATTCTTCTCATTCACCTCTGTAGTCAAAATGCGATTATGTGTACAGTCTGTCCTCATCCGAATCTGGCCAAAATTGACATGATGCGCTTCGCAACGCTGTAGATCCGACTCACGTCTGCGGTTTGCTAAAGGTGTTCGCTTTAGGACCTGGACATATCTTTCGCGATTTCAATCGCCACGCGATCTTGGCAATATTCCAGTTGCTTATAACTCGTCGCAAACTCAACTTGAGAGCACGGGAAATAGCACATTTTATCGACTCACAAAAACTGAATACACCAAGCATTTGTGGTCTGCTAGTGTAGGGTTAAAGAGATCTGGCAAATGGCCAAATCGCGTGGCGACTGAAGTCGCGAGAGGTATGCCAAGGGACTAAAGGCCTGACTGTTCCCTCGTTTTCTTCAATTCGGATAGCTATAAGCGCGGAAATGCAGCGCAAACCCTTTGCGTTGGCGCGCCACTGCGGCCAAAATTTGGCCTGATAATGTTTGAGACATACTGTATTCGCCAAAATTTCCTTTTCTTATTACATTTTGCGGGGACATTCGTATGCTGTAAACCTTTAAACTGGAGTAGCCGTTTCACACTCGACAAAAAAAACCCAGCCATGTGTACTCCCACTGTTCCCATCTGGTCCCTCCTCCTCACATGAAGTGTCCCTCTGAATTGCGTTAAAACCTCCACTTCTCTAGACTTGATACTCTTATTTATTCGCGAAAATGGATCCGAGAGAACTCAGTTGACATTCTTAGCATCTAGTAGCTATCTAAAGAGTTCAGGCTAAGATGTCGACCGAATAAAATCGTGCTCGCGCTTTATCATGGAGGATGATGATGGGTATTTCAAAAACAGATACGTTGTGGTTCCTATGAAGAACACTTAATTACATCTGACATTGAAATTTGACAGAAAATTGTGCTCGAAAATCGGGAAAATTAATTTTCTAAAACAACTTGGTGCGGCCTATTCAAGATAGAAAACATTTACGCATTTGCCGGAGGAAATTTGATGACTTTTTCTAAAAACGATTTTGGCGCTGCTTTTATAGAAAAAGAAACTTTTAAGAACCTGAGGAAAAACTTCCGACAACAACATTTTTTGCTCTGATATCTAAAAGCTTTTTCAGACTTATGATACTCAAACGAAGTGCTTGAACAAAAAAACATGCGTAGATCATGCTCAAGGTAAAGATTTGTAAAAACTTTCAAAAACATTCAAATGAACCACTACGCAAGAATTGTTTGAACGCAGATCACACTCAAAGAATCGAAGAGACAGAACTCCTTCACGATAAGAAACACGTGAAGCACTGTGGATTTGAACAAACGTACGGCGCTTTTTCGAATAAATACTAATTATCTGATAACAAAAAAAAACCTGGAACTTGCAGCTTTTCATGCTATAGCAATTATTATGGATTTCTTGAACATAAGGTAAAAAAATAATCAGAAACACTTCATGCCTTTAAGAAAGAGAAAATAGATTTTCTGAAAATTTAAGGAAATAAACATTACGAATACGCAGGTGCTTTTTGCAAAGTCTGTTACTATTAGTTAGAATAGTGTTAGGAGCCATACATTTTTTTCCAATAACAGCGTTCAAGGAAACACAACGCATGTGTACCTCCTACATACGTAGACCCAAACCTAGATTGAGTAGATTTCTAGGAACGCTACATGTGGATGTGCATTTAGAAGGAATAACGTTTTGGGTGAAATAATAAACTGGTCCGCTCCTTTTCCTTTGAAGTCGAGTTGCTTTTGTAATGGAAGCGATTTTGAAGTGCAGCAAAAACAATTGATGTTACCGCTCACATAATTCAGCTTGTCTAGTGATTGCATTTTGTTGGTTATGCCGCTTGATCAACATCATCTAAGACAGACATCACTACCGTTATGAGTAAGCGTAAACAGTCTGGAAGCGGATGGGAGTGCCAAAATTAAGACAAAGATCTCGACAAACATCCGTTGCCCTAAAGGGGGCGCTCGCGCTTTATTATAGAGTATGATACACTCAGTACTCAAAAATGTATTTAACACGTTGACGACGAGCCATTTTTTTGGGCTGTCCCTGTGGACGAACCGTTTCCCGGCACTTTCACAGCTGGCTGCATGTATGTATGCATGCATCTATGCGTGAGACAAAAATGTAGGTGGACGGGGCGGCTCCGCCCACTTTTGGCAAGTCCCGCCCGCTTTTCAAGAATGTTGGAAATTGCCCAAAATCAATGAATTCGTGCAAATTGCGGCATTTTTGAAAGGTGGGCGGGGCTTGCCACTCAGGGGGCGGGGCCTGCCTGAAGATGTGCGGGGCCTGGCTGAAAGTTGTTTGAGGTCTCTGCGTTCATTTACGGCGTCATCCATGCATTTTATGAACAAAAATGGCTCTTTTGGGAAGCATAGGAGTGGGCGGAGTTTACCAAAAAGGGCGGAGCTAATGCATGAAGTATATCCGAGCCTATGTTGATTATATGAACAGAAACTGAGAGGATTGGACCAGTGGCGTACCGAGGGGGGGGCGGGGGGGGGGGGGCGCGCGCCCCCCCCCCCGAGAATGGGTCGCGAAATTTTTGAAAGTTACCTATATGGGTTATAAAAATGTGCAAACGACTTGTTTATATTTGTAAATAATTAAAATATTTTTTAAAATTTTTTAAAAATTCAAATTAGCCTTTTAAAAAATTTTTTTTCGAGGGCGTGGCTGACGCCACGCCCCCTTTTTCCAGATTCAAGGGGTTGGGGACCCGCAAAAATTTTGAGAGGCACCCCAAAAAATTTTTCGGAGTGCGTGGCTAACGCCACGCACCTTCATTAGAAAAATTTTTTTGTCGCGCCCCCCCCCCCCCCCCGAGCCGAAATCCTGGGTACGCCACTGGATTGGACATATAGTATTGAAACTAAGGCCGCCGCGCACCATTGCGCGGCGTCGTCCACAGGGACAGACTGCCTGCCGCGCACCATTGCGCGGCACTGTCGTCAACGTGTTAATGGATTTTTTCCGGGTCTCAAAATTGAGAAACAAAGATGGTCCCAAAATGCCAAAAAGCCACTTTTTTCGAGTTTTTTTCATGTAAAACTTGGTATTTCTCAATTACAAGAGCACATACAGGGGTAAGATTTCGAAATTATACTTAGTAAGGCTTGTGGTATACAATGACATATGTGGGAGGAGCTGGGGCAGAGTTTGCCATTTTTGGACAATTTTTGTTTCTCGCTTTCTATGCTAGGAAAAAAATCGGTAAAGGCATATTTGTGTACTACTATATGCTTATTGTATAATGACCAAGTTGGAGGTCTGTAGGAATCTCTGTCGCAGAATTCATCTCAAGTGACAAAATTTCTTTCGACTTTGGCTTCAAACTTTACATGGAAAGCGGCTTAGGCGGACCCTTGGCTGTCATTTTGTAGAGCTTAATTTGCTCTACCGAATGGTTCCTTAAATCTATCAAAAAACAAAAATAGCTTGAGTTATTCAAAAAAGTAGTTTACTTTTGGCAGAACCTAATATCATGTCACTTGTAATTTACCGCATCACAGAAGGCTCGTCCGCGTTGAAGGCGAAACTCCTCCGCAGCTAGTTTGGAATTCTGTTCATATCCGGGAAACCTGAAATTAAACCATTCCTAAGCACTGATAAGGAAGGCTGAGAGCAATTTTGACTTACCATGGTATCCAATAGATAGGGTCATGATTGATTGGGTCATAGTTATAGTAATAATTTAATATAGCCCAGTCAAGAAAGCAGTGCAAGCTTTCATTGTAGGTCTGAACAGAAGATTTCTTGTCGTGCAGTTATTGGAATGATATCTCAACGTTGCAAACGAGACGGTTTTTCTTCACTTATCAACGTAAAGATTACCTAACTCAAACAGTGAGTTGCGTAAATCTCCTAAGATTTGAAGCTATAGTTAAGTTCTTACCACAGGAATATTGACGTAATCCCATTCGTTGCATACATCTTTGAGTGCTTTCGCGATATCATGATTGAAGAGGTCCTCATCAGAAAGATTTCTTGTATGTTTCGTATATCCCTTACAACTCCGATTGTATGTTTTTTCAGAGACAGCATGAGTGGACGAAATCTGAATACGGCAATCATCAGCTACTTACATTTCAAAGAACGCAACATACTATGACTAAACATAAAAACAACATTTTGAATGTTACTCTCATTTACTCAGACAATTTTTTATACTGAAAGATTTGCGCAAGCAGACCATTGTCAAATATAACAGAAAAGTCTGGCATACTTTTATTGTAATTCGGTGGGTTCCTGACGGATGGAATGCGTCATCCGGCACGAGCTTTGTCACGAGAGCATCAGTGATATGCGAATCGTCAAATTGTTTATGCTCGTCACCATCCGGTTACGACTTTTAGCGCTTAGTTTATATGTTTTCTACCCTCACTATTTTTTCAATCGCGGTTACGGATATTACGGATATAACAATTAAATTTTAAACGTCTGTGTCAATCACATACTCCCTTCTCCATCGGCCAATCGCTACGCCATAGCTTTGCGTCACGTTCGCGCGCGTATAGCTTGGGAATTCAAATTTGTTTCAACGAATGCAGGTCCGCACGCAAACCGCTGACGTTGCGGAAGCATAGCCCCTACAAGAGAGTGAGTACGTAATTGACACAGATCATTGTTACAATTTCATTCTGATCGCCTCCCTATTTACGCAGTGCTTTCATCAAAAGCGCAGTAATTGTTATTCTTGCCAAAGTGAGCTTGAAATAGGCATAGACCATGTGCCTAAATAACTGTTAAATCTCGCTAATTTTATAGTAATTCAGAAAAATGTGGCAACTCAAAACTTTTCGGACATACTATGTAGTTTATATGACCTTACTTGTCTTAGTAAGTCAGTAAATACACCGGTTAATCGACTCTTAACAAAAAAATAGCATTTATTCAAACTACCAAGAAGTGTTGATGACAAACTAGTTTTTTTTGGAATTTGAAAAATTTTCGATGTATTTTGATCTGAATAAAGCTCAAAATGCTAATAGACCTTGAAAATTATGGTTTCTAATAATAATTCAAATTCTGCAGATTTTGTAATGCCTAAAATCTCTAAAATGTTCTAGTAATTGCATCAGCCCTTATATCAATTTGTGATCGTTTTTACTTAGCCTTCATGCCCCAAATATTTGAAATCGCCATACTTTATTGCTTAGATATTGAAAGCATTCAGATAGCGTGTTCGTTGACATGAGTTACAGGTAAACGTTTACAAAAGGAAAAGTGTGAAATGTTTTTCAAGTTTTCAACGTAAAAAAGCCGTTTCCAAAATGCAAGTCAAGAAAAAGAGCAAGATTTAGGCAGCAGTTTGTTTTTTTTTCATGGGAGTAGTGCAACGCTATGTCAAGACCTTATTCAGAGGGACCTTGCGCATGACTTTTAGTGGGCGATGCCGACTAAAAGTGGCTAACAGTCATTTCGGAGGCTTTCTCGTATTTTATTCCCAGTTTTATGACCATTGCCAAAACATTGAAAAATACTACAATACTCGAACTTAATTACTAGGCAGCAGTTTGTATTTTGAAGAAGCATCACACACACACACACACACACACACACACACACACACACACACACACACACACACACACACACACACACACACACACACACACACACACACACACACACACACACACACACACACACACACACACACACACACACACCAGTTGAGATTTTATTCGCATATTTCAACAGATTTGTATAAAGTTGGAAGCTTTAGCTATAAGTTGCAATTTACTTGCTTATAAAAACTTTTGTGGAATAAATTGCACTTTGGGAGATCGCGCTAAAGTTTGTGAGTAATGAACTTCATAGCATACTCGCAGAATGCTAACAAGGGAATGGTCAGAATCGAAGTGGCTAAACCAAACAAGCTGTATACCTTTCGATGCAGTATAAAACCCTGACTTTGAATCCGTCCTCCTTATCTGCTTATCGCTTCTGTGGACGAAGCTACAGCACATGAAAATTGCGAAATTGCGCACATTGTTGCACTTTCAGCTCGATTTAGGCTTCGAAAATTCAAAGTGAGTTAGCTGCTTGTCTTGGCCCAACATTGGGCCGAATGTGGCTCTGTACGGCCACATTTTCACTTTCACGCATAATTTCTTAGCAAAATAATTTCCTTGAATGGCTTATAGGTTCTTCCAGAAAAGCGATAAGCAGATAAAGAAAACAGATTCAGAGTCAGCGCTTTATTCTGCATCTAACGATATGCAGCTTGTCTGGATTAGCCACTTCGATTTCTGACCATTCCCTTATAAGGATATTAGTGCATTTCCCAGTTTTTGACCAAAAAACGACTGTTGACCTCCCCGTTTCGTGCCGAGCCTGCCGCGTTTTAATATTGTCCGGATAAATGATGGTGATCATGCTTTATACCAGAGTATGGAACAAACAATTCTTGTCATTTAGCTAGCTGTAAGGAGTGTTCATATGTAAAGAGTTTTGCAAGCACTTGTAGTCAATCACAATTCTGCACCGTGTACGGCCTCTACCCCATTCTCCTATCCATCCCCAATTCATGTCCGTAAGCGCTGATGTAGCTTCAATGTCGTCTCGCATTTTTCCTTTGTGAAAATTTTTCATTGCTTCCGTATAAGATAAAAACGTTGTTTATACTTAACCTCAAATAATGCGACTTTGTGATTTCATTAATCTGACAGTAAGCCGTAGTTCTGTATGAAGTGCTTTTTTTAATCGACGATTTGAGTCCTATCCGTTGGTAAAGATCACCTTCCGAATCGCCACTTCGATCGAGCGGCTTTCTCTTGCTAGAGTAAATGATGGTTCCTTAGAAAGAGGTAATCACAAAACTTTTGGGTTCTTGTTGTGACTACGGTCATGCTATAGCCAAAGGTTTGCTCTTTAGAGTAGTCTTTACTGCGCTCAGAAAGAAGCTTCGAAATAAGCTACCTTGATCGAAAGTTAAATTATAGAAGAGTGCATTTATTATTAATTAAGTCGTATACTTGATCAAGTTCTATCGGTTTCTTTGATCGGTCCGTGAAACACAAAAAAACGCTGATCGCCAAACGACCTAGAAATCGTTCGATTTAGTTGTTATCATCTTTTCGACACATTTCCTCCTTCTGCGCATTTCTTGCGATGTTATCGCAAGAAATGTTGGGTGTTCCGTGAAGTAAACCCTTACATTGTTTTCATTTTAAATTACAGAAAACTTTTGAAGTTGGTAGTAATTATTAATTAGAGTACCGAAAATTCCAAAAAATGATATTTAAAGCGAAACTTGATTATTTTACACAAATGATTTTAGATAGCAACAGTTGTACGCAGGCTTCAGAAGCTTACGCATTTTCTTTATGCAGTTGTGTGTTTCATTGACCAAAGCTTGAGATTTTCAAGGAAATAGTTCTTGAAGGTTCAAACAGCAGATTGCTCTGAGGAGTCTAGGAGCATTTTCGTATGAGGTGCACCAAAACAAACGGTGCATATACAGGGTGTCCCAAAAAAATGTTTCGAACGTTTGGTCGTTAATATCTCTCTTCCCAAAAATTCTTTTGCCTTGCTTCAGGTACCATTTTGTAGAGCTGGCTTCAACTTAGATTTCCACTATAGAACGAATCACCCATCTCTCTTCATTACTGTAGGGTTACGGTAGAAACTTCAAAGAGGGTTTTGAACCATGAAAGGCCATATTTTGCCTCAGAAAGGAAACAAAACAGCCTGAAAACTTTTCCAGGCTAATTAGAATTGCTGATTATAACTGTGAAGTTTCCAACTTATTATGATGCTTCATTGAAGAGTTATGCCAGGTGAGAGGTAGCGGCCTTTTTTCAATGTTCCTAAAAAGTGCGATTACACCGTTTAGAAAGCTTCGTAATCTTGTGAATAGTTAAGTATTGAACTCAGCGTCTATAAAAACCCTATTACACAAGTTTTCACAATTTTTTGAAAAATTTTGAAATGGCAGCTTTTTCCACATTGACACCATATGTTTCAAGTTTCTACCGTAATCCTACAGTAATGAAGAGATATGGGTGATTCGTTCTTTAATGGAAATCTAAGTTGAAGCCAGCTCTACAAAACGGTATCTGAAGCAAGGCAAAAGACTTCTTGGGAAGAGAGATATTAACGATCTGTATATTGGCTAGTGCCAAAAAATTACAAGGCGAGCTTGACGGCGGAACAGCACGCACCTATTTTTCTCAGCCAGTATCGTCATAATGTAAAGGCTGTTGCATGACGAAAGCGCAGATGTAGTATTAGTTGAGCGGGCGCGAACGCGGCGCGCGCGTATCTTCACCGTTGTAAATTACGCGTCTCGCTCTGCGGCTAATAAAGCCGCGATCGCTCCCAAAGATATTGGCCTTCGTCATGCAGCATCCTTTAGTTAAATAATAATTTAACTAAATAAATAATTTAAATATAATAAATAACTAATGAATAATAAATAATAATAATAAATAAATAACTAATTTGAATAATAACAATAGTAATAATAAATAACTAATTTAAATAGTAATTTGCCTACTTCATTTTTGAAAACAATTTCGTCTTTCCTCTTCAGGTGAACGGTATTCCACTCTGCATGCAGACACAATCCTTCACATTTGCATGACATTTTTGAAAAAAAAAATTTTGGCTTGAAATTGCGCATCAAAGTAAAGCAAGTCTTTGCCTCTATCACCGCTAAGTACGGAAGTTGAGGAAACATTTAGAAGAGGAATTTTTATCTTCAAAAAGAGTTTGCGAGGCGGCATATTGAAAAAAGTAGCATTTTTCCTACTAAGGCGCCTGAAAATAGAAAATGTCTTCCGTTTTAGTTCCAAAAGCAATTCACAAATCGGTTGTGGTAGTTACACTTTTTACACTGTTTCAAATAGAAAATTGTTTTTTACTGGAAAGTTTTGCGGTCCAAAGTCTTGAAATTGACTTTGAACATAAGGTTGTTGCTCGGCAATTGGTAATTTTCACAAATATATTTCCACCAGTGCGTCACCTCTGCTTCGCAGAGGCTCGCACTGATTCTACTCTATATGCCTTACTTATTCTCGCCTAATAATGGCTTTGAAACTCACCGCATAATGCTGACTATCGCAAATAAAATGTAAACAACTATTCATTCTAAAAGCTTTTTTATGTAAGATCGGTGATCTCGCGTGGACGTAACTTTTCGCAGAAGAACTGATGCAAGTTTGAATAGGTTTTGAAACTTTTTTGGCTTGGTAGTCGCCATGAAGACAATAGTTACCGCGAGCTACATCTCTATGCAAAAATCTTCTCAAATGCTCAGGTAAATCCATGTCGGATTGACCATTTACGCGAACACTTCTTTTTGGCGTCGTTTTCGTAAAGTAGCAAACCTTTGGTCACTTTTTGGTCTAAAGTCCATGACTTACACATCAACCTGCTAAACACATCCACGGCTTTGCAAAAAGCGTTGATACGGACACAATTTTGCGGGCCAGAAGCCAAGTGGATCCGTTTGACGCGCAAATTCTGAGGGACTTACTCAGCGAATCCTTTCGTGCTTTTGCATGGTGGAGTTCTGCGTTGGTAGCATGCGCTATGCAAAATTTGAGCTCTGGATGTTGGCTGGAACTCGCTGTATGAGTTTCGTTACAGACAGACAGACAGACACACACACACACACACACACACACACACACACACACACACACACACACACACACACACACACACACACACACACACACACACACACACACACACACACACACACACACACAAAGTCACGTAAACACCCTTAGCTCGTTATCATAAGTTATAATATTTCGTAAAAGAACAAACTTGCGAATGCAGCTAGGTTTATATGATAGTGCAAAGTGTAAGTTATTACCTCAGCTTGGAATGGTTCAGGAAGAGTATCCTTCATTTAGCTGCTGAGCAAAATATGAAGGTATAGAAATCTTATTTTTGCTTTTTTCTAAACTACTAGTCTCACTCTTTTAATTACAACATTCATTAACTAACTTTTTTTGAGTTTTAAAAAATGACCTCAGTAAAGATTGATTAGTGCATTATTGATGACATAAATTTGAGCTCGTGTTTTGCAGTAGTTTTTTCGTCGTAGCAGTGCAAAAGTGGTGCTACTTATACTGGCGCACCTTGTAGTCTGAGATTTGCTCTATTGGCAACACATTTTTCTCTATCACAGCTCTAAAATTTTTAAAGCTTAGCAGAACATTGAGCACGCTAAAATAAGGACTGAAAATCTTTGGCAGTTTTCAAGAAGCGTTCACAAAGTTATTTTTCAGGAAAGTAAGCATTAGAGAAAAAGAGAGGCGAATATGCATTCAAATGCATGTTCAAACGCAATTAGGTCTTTATACGAGGGGCTAATAATTTGATATAATAATCCCTGGAAAAACGGGAAACCGGGAGAACCTTATAGGCTGGAAAAAGAAAGGTGTCGATTTCTAAGCTAAATTTGTAATCTTTCAAGAAAAGCAGATGGGAGGCCAAATTTTTCACCTTTGGAGCAGAGGTGCGATAAGTGGAGCCGGGCCCTCCAAAAGTGAAGGTGGTTCCAGCTACCACTGGCCGGCCAAAAGTGAAGGTGATAGTGCCGGACACTCACCTCTCAAAAACGTAGACCGGAGGGGGGGGACTTCGGATATTTGAAGATCTGACCCAACGGTCTCCTTGAGGGTCAACAAGTGTGACCTAACGGCCCTCTTTAGGGCCACAAATACGATGAGTACAGCGGCATAATAATAAAAAAAAGGAATAAACGTGTTATTCAAATGGTCTATTTGTAAGTAAAACCCAGTTAGACTTTACGTATTTTATTAATTAAATTTTGTTATAACGTATTGCGAATAAAGTAGGTCGATCCAGGAAGTAACCACCGAGAACCAGAATTCGAATAATAAAATAGCGAAAAATCATGCAAAATTTCCACTGTTATAAATCGGGTGGTTGAAGACGTCAGCAACTGGATTTCATGAAGGGCAGGTGTTGTTCTACCAGAAAGTGAAAGAATTAGATCGATCTGAGCAGTGGTTGCCGAGAGCGAGAATTTAATAATTTAGCGATTTTAGGTTACTTAGTGACAGCTTGCGTTTAGATTCCTATAAATCTCAACATGATTCATGCAATTATGAAGAAGTTATGAGCTGTTAAATTTCAAAAATCGGTTTTTTACCTGTTTCTTTAAGAGCCTGAATCTCCGCGGTATTTCGATGGATCGGTAGGTTGGATTCTCCTTTTCAACAGCTTTCAGATGATATATAATATGTGGGGGGATCAGTAATTCTTGCGGCTCTAACCCAGGGTGGAGACTTTTTACCTCAAAGTCTCCACCTCGCCCATGTTAATGTATTGGCCGGAGACCGCTAGTGGAGACTTTGGGGTGAAAAGTCTCCACCCCCGGGCATATGCCGTGAGGGGCTCGAAACCCCTACATATTATAGATCATCTGAAAGCACTTGCAGAGGAGAATCCAACCTATGAAGTCGCAACATGATTCATGCAATTCTGAAGAAGTTATGAGCTGTTAAAATTCAAAAAGGTTTTTTACCTGTTTTTTTAAGAGCCTGAATCTCCGCGATATCTTGATGGATCGGTACGGCTAAGAC